CTAAAAAATGTAAAAAGCCCGAAAAAACACGTTTCGATATTGAGATTTTCGAAAATCCGCCCAATGGATTTGTTAAATTATTTTCGTTTCTACTCGGTATTATCTGTAGAAAGCTTGTGGAGAAAGTTTTTAACAACAGAGTTGCCAGCTATCTGAAAGTTTAAAATTATTCAATAGCTTAACAGCATACTCAAATGTCTGCCATAACACAAAACGGATTGAAAAGATTAAAAAAATATTTTGGAGTGAGGTTGCCACCTTTCTAAAAGCAAATTACAAATTATAATGATTTTTGTAAAATCGTGCTAGTGGGAAGAAAAAAAATCCCTAGATGGGCAAAAAGAGAGGAAGTTGAACATTCTTGCTTGAGAAATTTTATTTCATTAAACCCATTTTTTTATTTTAAATAAGTGGCAAGAAAAGGCGTGGGTTAATGTTTGTTTCAAAAATCGCTCGTTAGGCACAAACATATTTTATTTATGTATTTGCTTTACTTACATAAATAGATTACCTTGGTTTATAATTGAGTGGCAACCCTACTCAAAAACATTTTCGTTTTAAATCTATTTAAAAACTTTCCGTTTGATAACCACATTGTAGTGGTAAAAATCACAAATTTTTTATAACCTTTGTTAGCTTTTTCGGAAGGTGGCAACCCCGCTACAACATATTTTTTGTAAGTCTCTTAAAACAATTTTTGTTTTAGTGTAGAAATTGAAGTATTTAAATAATTTTAAAATTTCGGATAGCTGGGAACCCTGTTTTTCTAAATTTCTTCCACAAACTTTCTACCAAATATACCGAGAACAATGGATACGTTTAAAGTTGTTAAAACTGCGAAAAATTGCAATATACACGATTTCTCGGATTTTTTACAGTTTTCGGATATCTGCTACTACACACTTCTGTACCACTGTGCGATGATGCCTTTGCTGCAGCAAAAATGCCACTTTAGAAAAAGTAATAGCTCGTAGTTTGAAAATATATTTTCAAAGGATGCCGTTAGTTTTGTTACGTTAAAACTAACAATGTTTACCTACAACTTCAGGCATTTAAACCGATTAACTATTGTGTGGCATGCAATAAATAGGCATCAATCAAAATTTTAGAGTAATGCACTTGACTACAACAACATCAGGGCACATAATGCCCATCTGTATGCAAGGATCTGCCATTCAACTTCTGATGCAACAAATATCATGCCAAGTTTTACAAATCCACATTTTCGCTTTACACATTTCATTGATGTAAAATCACAAAAAGACTGTTACTTTTGGACAAGTCTGCTTTTATAGACACAGTTTGAACAATATTTTGCTAATTTTCATGCACTCATTGACGTTCTATGCCTCATTGTCACAATGTGCCAGCAAGCGATTGTGCATTATGCTGGCTGTGTATCAAAGAGAAAAAAAGAAAAAAAAGAAAAAGAATAAAAAAAAACAGAATGAAAGGAATAAACAGCATTGACTCTGAGTCAACTTTCTTTGCCAGCAAGCGGCAATATTTTCCTTAACGTAGCCTATCCATTTATGAATGTCTACAATGCACGTCAACCTAGAGCTGTTTCACAGGTGTATCTGTTGCCTACTTTCTGCCCATTTGTGACACTTTTTTTTTGTTCTGTCAGTTATTTGGGTTTTTATTGTTTTGCAAAACAAAAACAAAAAACAATCACTTGTTTATTTGTTTATATGCGCTGCGGCTTGTTTGGCATGCATTTAAGCAATGACTTTGTACTTGCTTTGCTTGCTTTGAAGATCAAAGATTAAGCCGGTTTCAGGCGTTCAAGAAAAAAGAAACAAAAACAGAAGTCACAAATGTAGGCTTTCTATAATATTTTCTTAATTTTTATTACTCACAAATAACTGCTACTACATTCTAATGCACATACCTTTTATTTGAGATATTTTGAATTTTTCTTCGCTCTTTGAAATTAATAAAATAAGTAATTTTACTACCGCTACTTATTTGTATAATTTTTCAACAAATTATTTAAACGATCTCATTTTCAGTGCAAACACAATTTTCTACTCAATCTAAGATCAACTAGCAGCCTCGATCGTCTCGAAGTCTGCCCCTTAAATAACTGCACTTACTATGTACGTCAAACGTTAACAAACAGGTAAGTGGGCACATGTGTATGTATGTATGCAAGTATGTTTATTTGAACTTGCTTTTTATTGTAACATTTATCGCATGACTATGCATATTTAGTGATTAGCCAGTGTATTCTAGTGTCGATCAACGTGGAAGAGTTCGAATCCCGAGATTTTTTCATATATACGCAAATAAATAAAGGGTGTTGGAAAAAATTAGAGTAATTCAGAATATAATATTTTGTCCGAAGAAGTAATTCAGAATATAATTTTTTGTCTGAACTAAATCCGCAAAATAATGTGTGCAGAAAATGTGGTTACTCCAGGAGCAGTCTAATCAACACTCCAGGCGCCGTTAGAGGTATACTCTTGCACTTTACCTAACCAGTGCCACATAAATCCACATTTCAAACTTCGTACAAAAATTATGAAAATTGAACAAACTTTAACAGCCAGTTTTACCAGCAATTTAAATGGAAAATAATTTTTTTATTTTCTGTCGATTTCCATATAAAATTCAAAAAATTTGGTTAATTTTTCACTTAAATTGCTTTCGTGAAATTGGCTGTAACAATTGCACCCACAAATTTTAAACTTTTCATTCGGAATTTTTAGAAAAATGTTGGGTAACAGAGGGTGGTGGGATGGTTTTCTTGTAAACTTTCCACGTGGCATAGCCCCCTTTATTTAACATTATTATTAATAGGCCTCTGACATAGCTAAATCTTCTTTGCGAACTCCTAAAGAGTCACTTCAACCTAACGTTATTTTTAAAGTTAAACGCTTTGAAGCATCGTTCAGATTTTGGATGGCGACGAAAGTCGTTCTCCAAGGGATATATTTAAGTCTGTTCACAAAATCTGCAGTTCATCTTCATAAATATGATACCTGACCCTGCAAACTGTGAGAGTTTTAGGACCTTCACAGCTAAGACTAAGCAGTAGCTCAGAGGCTCCACGAGAGGATGTTAAAAATTCCTTGGATTGCCTTTTAACCTTTGACATACGCCAGTGACCGCCAACCTTTGGATGCACCACAGAAAGGCATGTATATATGTCGCGATCGAGAACCCACCACAAAGTAACCTTGTATCGGATTCCAAGTTTCTGTAATACAATTCCGCGGCTATCTTTCAAATATGACACTATTTTGCATAAATCGAAAGCACTTAATAAGAAATTTATAGGGAGGGGCCTTGAAGTGCGGTTGTGTGTGTGCCCATTGACACACTTTACTGTAATCTAAGTCTTGATATTCCGTCTCCAGCATTTCTATCATCAGGTTTGGATCAAATAATGTACCAAATTTGTCATCCTTCGATAATCGTTGTGATAAATAGTAATAAAGAAAAGAGGAAATAACGAAAAGAGGACGCGCAGTATATCAATTAATTTTCTTTTAACAATTTGACCTGAAAAGTTTAGCTCGTAAAACATTAGCTGTATGATCAGCACAACTCATTATTTTAAGGCTTACTAATGAAAAGATTAAAATTAAAATTAAATTAATTAAAGATTAAAATTAAAAGTGGACAAATAGATTTCTGAAAACCTTATAGATCCATAATAAGGAGTATAGCCTTGGAATAAAGCAGTGTAAAGAAACATTTTCAAGTTTTAATATCTTTTGTAAACGGCGTTATCATCCTTGACCGAACAATTCTGAAATGAAATAAATTTAGGCACCCTGTATTCGCTCATAGCGAGCAAGTGAAATGGAAATTCTAACTTATTAGCTACATATTACTCTCAGTGAACCAATAAACCCAGGTCCGCACAAAAAGTTAACTAATGGAAATTAAAAAATAAACCCATCGAAAGATCACAGATCGTTTGATGTCGATCACCGGCAATGATTTTCATTTTCAGGTGTCATCATCAACACGTTTTCCCTTGTTCTTTTCAAGTCCGCATATGTACATTTTCTTGTAGCTGGTGCATTTCGACAACTCTTCTGCTTTCTTTTAATCTTTCCAGCCTTTTACTGTTGTTGTACGCTGCTCATTGTCGCCCAACAAGCGCTTAATATCGAGATCGTTATCAAAGCGACGATATTTTGTAATACATATTTCTATTTATAACTAACTTTGAACTAAAGTTATATGTATGCTGTGGGTTGTGAACGCTTACGCCTTCTAGATATACATATGTATATACATCTAGGAGTACTAGAGAGATGCGTAGAACGCTCACTCACACGCTCGCTCTTTCGCTAAGACGATCAAAGCGAAAATGCCGCTAAATAAAAATCGGCCTGTTGATTTGAGCTCAACAAATGATTTGATGATGATTTTCAAATTATCAAATAAATGATCTGTAATTTTTGGTAATCTTTTCAACCTGCACATCTACGAGTATGCGGGTATGTGTAGACAAAAATTGAAAGCCGATCGTTGCTTTCGACGGCAAATCTTAGTCGATGAGTAGACGAAAATTCAATGGCCTACAAGCGAGTATAGCAAGTAGTTTTGTTTGTGTTTTTTTTTGGCGTTAACTAACTGACCTCGTAGCAGCAGTTGGCTGGGCTGCGCGGCAGGGTGACTAACTGTCAACTGTATATTAGGTAGCTAGCCTCATTACAGGCGGCATTTCTTTTACTTTGATTTTTTCGAAATTTTAGAAATGACTGCCTCTACTTAGTATCAGCTAATTTGTCGCCAATATCACACTAAAGCCGTAGTGAAATTTGTTCGTCAAATTCTGTTAATTGGGCCGTAAGCTGTTTGATGGCTAGTTAAATGCCGCTTGGCGCTTTCTTCTTTGTTGTTTCGAATTTAATTGATTTTTTTTTTTATGCGCTTATGCATTTGTTATGGCCACTTTGCATTTTGTTAGGTCAATTTTCTTTCTATTTTTGTTTTGTCTGTTCAAATATAAATTCTACCTTTCTACTACCACTTACCACCTAATATGCCGTGTATACTATAATCCTTGCGTCCGTCTTCACTGGTACGATCATTACCTCGTAAAAGGCGACTGATGGACGATGTGGATGGTGGATCGGTGAAGCCCTCCTAGAATGGTAAAGGGAAAGTATTAGCTACTTAGCTACAATGTTTGTATTTAAATATGTAAGCTATTTTATTGTTAAAACTAGTACGTATGCTAATATAGATATTAAAATAAGTAGGTTTTTTTTTATATTTATGTCAAGCATTCCATAGCACATAAGAAAAAATAGCAAAAGGAGACAATTTTTTGTCTAGAAATTACAGCTTTCTGATTTTAACATTTGCCTTTCACTTCAGTGCACTGTAGTCAAGTAAGTTTGTCGTATTGGGTCATATGAAAAGTCTCAGCTATCAGCAAATTTTTGTTTGAAGTTATTCCTATTCAAATAGATAGTATATGTATGTACCAGGGCGGGTCAAATTTTTTGCATCAAAGTCACATCGCGATTATGGTTATTGGGCCATTTCAAGCATTTTTACTCAATAGGTCTAAAATGAATTTCGAGCCACCGATTTTTTCTATCAATTTTTTTTTTTTTCAAAAGGTGGCGCACCTGTTGAAACAGCTGTATTGAAAACTAGCCAAAATATGTATCGGGGGCTTTTTGGGGTCAAGGAATCCATTTCTGGCATTAATTTTTTCTTTTGAGGGCCGCCAGAGGGCGTTTCCGTACTTTGTTTTTGGATTTTAACGCCTTTTTTCCGAAAATTCAATTTCCAAAGAAGAATGGGATGCAGAACTGCCAGTAGTAGAGGAGGGTATATCCATCTACACTGATGGTTCAACGGAGTCCACTCGAAGGACCTGCCGATCAACCGGTTCGATAGCGAACCACTGCAATGTCTTCTAAGCGGAGATCTACACTATAGAGAGGGTGGGTAGTCTTTTTTTTAGTGGTAGAGTTCCGGAAGACAAAACCACTATTTTTTCCGACAGGCAGCCAGCACTGAATAGGATAGCAATAGGATCTAAAATAGGGAAATCGGAGAATTGTATGGAAATGTCCCACCACGCTGGCGTCAATGAGCCGTATCAATGTCACTCTATGCTGGGTCCCTGAACAAAGTAAAATTGAAGAGAATTAGTCAGATGGCCAGATGCGGATCAGCGATGCCAATAGAAGAAGCGGATAGCTCCATAATCCACCATTTAGCGACCACGTTAGGAAAATTGATGAATTGAAATACTCAAACTCAATAGATATGCAATAAGAGTCCTTACCGGCGTTATCACAGGACACTGTGCTATATCACCATTGCTTCAATATGATATGGATGAAGAAGAGTCAATTGACCATTTTCTGGGTCGATTTCCAGGTCTACATACGACTCAAGCACTTGGGTTCACGTTTCTTAAACAGTCTGGGCGAGGTAGCGGAGGTGGAACTGTTGGATCTCCTCGGCCTCAGGGACAGTAATTGGTTCAGTACAATAATGACTGAAAGCTACTCTTTCGATTATAGGTGCGTGTCTCCTACTGACCTTAACTTAAAGAGGGCATTCAGAGTGGGCAATTCTGTTTCCGGGTGAAAGTGCAGAACATTCCACATACGCCCTCCTAGCCTAAACTAACCTTGGTTCGTTGTTTGTTCCAGAAAAAGCAGGGATAAATCCATGAAAAAGTATACCAAAATGATGAGAAATTCGAGATGAGTCGATTCAGCCATGTCCGCCTGTCGGTCTGTCTGTCTGCTCGTCCATCTGTCTATCCATGCGAACGAACGAATTTGGTAAGTGGGTGCCTTTTTATAATGTATCTATTTATCATTTGTCGGAACCGGCAGTATCGAACGACTACAACATATAGCTCCCATATAACAGATTGTTCAGATATGAAATATTGCGTTCTACCTCCTTCAAAAGAGCAGCTAAGAACATGAAAATTTTCATTATTTTCACTTGTTATCCACAGTGAAAATGAAAAAGATCGGACGACTATAACCCATAGCTCCCATACAACCGATTATTTACGTTTAAACCGATTCATTTATTCAGATAAAACCGCGCAATTTCCCATACAAATGATTGTTCAGATATAAGTTTCTGGGATAAAATAATTTGTTCCCCCAATTTTCTTATCATAAATGAGAAGTTCACAGTTTAAATAAAAATTATCATGGAAAATTCGTACTTAGCCATTATAATTTAGCATACATTTATTATAAATTTCCTTTCATCAATAAATTTGAATCAGAAGGCTTTAAACTTTTCACAAAAAAAAGGAATAAAGAATCGAGCAGGCCTTCGTTAGTTTTGGCAAATAAGTGTAAGTGAGACAAAGAATTGCAGAATAGATGTGTGCGGGCATAAAAGTAGAAAACAAAAAAAGATATTTCAGTACCTATTAAATTTTTGTAAATTTTTTAAGTACACCAACACTCAAATACCACGTAGTAGCAGGCTAGACTAACTTAAAATCCAGCAGACGATTGTCAATTTAACACTTGAAAACTAAATTTGCTGAGTCTAAGTAGTTAGCAGGAGATGCCAATACTTCTCTTTTAGGTATGACTACATTGTATGTTTGTAAATATTTGCATAAACTGTGAAATGCTATTTGCCATGCTATGCATTTTTTCGAAAACCAAACAAGAAATAGGAACGGAAAAAACGACTATCAGCAAAGCAAGTCAAACTCTTTGTAGTTAAATAAAAAATATACATACATATTGATGCACATACCTATTGCATTTCACTTAATACATACATATACTCGTATACGTTTAACTAGGAAAATGACTAACAACACTTCTAATTTAACTAGTTTTGCTTGGCTTGGAAGCATTTCAGAATATTAATGGTTTTTATGACAAAAAACTATAGGCATTTACTTAGTAAAAAAATATAAAACATCAATAACAGACACACATACATATGTCAGGTTTTCTGCCTTCTTTACTTTCCAGACTTTTAGCTTAGCTTATCCAAAAATTAAAATAGCTAAATTTTCTTAAAATATTATTCGTAACGTTTGCTCGTTCATTTACACTATACTACATATATTGTATTTATGTATCTATGTACAGGCGACTTTAAAGTCTATAAATATTGATTTTTAACACACGAGAAATAATATATATGTACATATATCGAGCCATTTTAAATAGCTAGATTAATTTCAATCAGAATTCAACAAGTCTATTATTTATTATGAAATCATTTAGGATTATCTTTACGAAGCAAACAAAAAACTTCAAAGGCACAAAGAGAGAAATTTAAATGAGGCTTATCTAAATTGTATTCAAAATGATTTATTTATGAAGGCGAGCTTGTTTTAATACTAAATACATTTGTATACTAAATCTACAAATGTTTAGATGCATGTACATAGATGTGTGTACATTAGGGTGGTCCAAAACAAGTAAAGTCGGAATTTTAATGCTCTCACTTCTAGGATTGTTCTATAATCGTGAAGTGACTGAGTTGAGGTAAGGTGATTTGATGTGAGTTCAGGTGAGGAGTGTTGGGGTGAGTTAAGCCAGTTGAGGTGGAGTGAGGTGAGTTGAAGTGAGGTGACTGAGTTCAGGTGAGTTAGGGAGAGTTGAGTTGAGGTGATTGGAGTGATTTGAGTTGAGGTGAGGTGAGTTGAGGTGGGTTAAGGTGGGTTAAGGTGAGTTGAGATGGCGTGAAGTGAGTGGAGGTGAAGTAAGGTGAGCATAACTTAAAACATACTAAACTTCAGCATTATCTTTACCTTTGAATTTTTTTCTCTATCTTATTCTGTTCTCTCCATCTTCCTCTTCATCTTCATTTTCATGTTCATGTTCATGTTCATCTTCATCTTCATGTTCATGTTCATGTTCCAGTTCACCTTCATCTTCCTCTTCATCTTCGTCTTCATCTTCATCTTCATCTTCATCTTCATCTTCATCTTCATCTTC